GCCGGGGCCCCCCGAGGGCGGCGGGGCGAGCGTGTGCGGGGCGGCCGAAGGCGCGGGCTGCAGCAGCAGGCACGCCCCGTCGCGGTAGCAGTACTCGTGCAGCTGGTGGCTGAGGAACTCCACCTCGGCCTGCTCGTCCGCCAGCAGCTCATCGCCGTCCTCCAGAGGGTCCCGAGAGGACTGGTCGGTGAAGAAGTCCTCCTCGTCAAAGTAAGGAGACGGGAAGGCGTCCAGGCCCCCGGGGAAGTGCTCGAGCAGCACCGTGTCCATGCTCTGTGCCGCCGCGGGCCTGAAGGGCTGAGGGGCTGAGGGGTTCTCTGGAAGTTTGACGGTGCGCTGCTTGTTCGCACGGCGGCCCCCTCCCTCCCGGGGTGGGGGGGGGGTGAGCGCGAGACAGGGAGGACGGCCCGCCCGCTTCCCGCCCCCGGCCTCCCTGGAGCGTCCGCGGCCGCTGGGCTCTGGCCGGCGCCCGCGCTGCGCTGGGGAGGGCTGTGGCCGACTTGCTGAAGCTGAGGGCCGGCACGCGAGGATTCTTATAACTACATCCACAGGCGCGTGCCAGGGACCCGCGGCGCCAGCCAATCACCGAGTGCGGGGTGCCGGCGGCGAGGGGGCAGGGAGGCCCCGTCGGCGGCGCGGGGGCCGGGGCGGCCTTCCTCCCAGTGGGAGCTCCTGGGGCGAGGAGGAGGCGGGGCTCGCGCGGCCTGGGGCCCCTCGTGGCCCTCCCTGCCCGACCTTCTGACGAGTACCTGCGGGGCGCGGGGCTCCGGGGGCACCTGCGGCCCGCGGTGTCCGCCCCCCCTACCCCCCGGGCCCGGCGCGCTGCTCAAAGCCCGGCCCTTCCGCCTGGGGGCTGGGGCGCGGCGCGGGGCGTCTTCGCGCCGCCACAAACGGTCCCGTGGGTGCGCGTGGGCGGCGCAGGCTGCGGAGCGGATTGCGAAGGGAGGCCGCTCCTCCTCGGGGGTGGGCGCAGGCACCGCCGGCAGCCTGGGCAGTCGGGTGGGTGCCTTCGCCACCGCCAGACCCGGGCGCGCGCCGGCCTCCCGCCCGAGTTCCGCCGGGTCTTCTCTCCTCAACGGACTTTTCTGGGTCTCCTGTAAAGTTGGCACGGTGTGTGCGGGTGGGGTTGGGAGGCGGCGCGGTGCATCCCAAGCGTTCCAGACCCTGCGCGGAGTTTCGGGGCGCGAGCCTGCGGCCCGCCTCGCCTCCCCTCCTTTACCCCGCCCGGAGAGAGAAACGGGGACACCGAGGGGCTGCCTCGGAGAGCGGCTCAGCGGGGCACGTTTCTTCTGAGAGCAAATCGAGGCCCTAGGGCTTTGGAGCAATAAAACCTGATACAAAAGAAGTCAAATGAATCGTGTGCTCTGGAGCAGTCCGGAGGGAGGGCATGGAAGTTAAAGGGCGGAGTGTGAACCCTTTCAAAGCCCGAGTCCCTCACCTTTCTGCTGGCCACCGGATTGTCCCTGAATGATTTTTTTTTATTTCTTGACCTTAAAAAAAGAAACACCGAACGCAAAACGTATGTGCTCTGCCCATGACACGCTTTATCACAGCCTGCGATGCAACACGAATTCTTCATCTTAAGAGTAACAAACAAACATTTTCAAGGTTGGGGCAATTCTTGTAAAAAGCCAAGCTCCAACTTCCACCCTGGGAGAGTAAAGTGAGAGTAAAGTGGCGCATGTTCTCTGAATAGAGGACTGAGAGCCAAGGGCTTCGTGGGTCAGCCGCTTCCTTTTTCAGACACTTGTCTCACCAGAGGCTTCTAGGGGGTTTTCAGGTTCCTCTCAAAATTCAAGGCCATGCCTTTTAAGAACAGCAATTTCGACAGGCTTCTTGGTTTTAGACATTACACTGTACGTAATTCAATTCTAAGACCCAAAAGTTAGGAGCAAAAATTACATAAGATTAGAAGACCAGAGAAAACCCTACCTTGAACTGTCAAAAACCCCAATTTTCACCCAAAGACTTATTGTTTTACAGCAAGTTCTTTCATGTGTCTGCTGATGCCCTTCCTGGTGAGGTGGTTATCCTTAAGCTGATGAACATGTGGACAGGTACCCTGTGTCAGAGCCTGGGCTGCAATTTCTTGCATCTAGATTTATCTTTCTCACCTCAAAGGAGAAGGAAACTGTTGGGCAGTGGGGGGTCAGGACCACAGGTCTAGCCAGCTGGTGGTGCGCACCCAATGCTTTTTACATTTAAAAGGCCCTCATCCTTGTCCCTCACTTGGTTAGACTGAAATTAAGTGGGAACATGCTCTTGGATCAATCTAAGGACTTTGGAAGGCTAAGAAATGATCAGACTTCAAAGACTTATCCAAAATAGTGCTAACCGTTCAGTGAAGGAAAGATTGGATTCCAGCCTACAAAGGCTGTCTCTGATAGATCTAGGTGGCTCTTGAGAAAGTATTTGTGTCATGAATATGTTGGGGGAAGCTGGGGTTCTTGGGAGTCAGTAGGTGTGTATACGGGTATCTTTTTACCCAATGTGATTTTAAGTTAGCCTTCACAGAAAATCACTTTACATATGCTCAGTGAGTTTGCGGTCGAGTACAGAAAATTACTCTGGGCACCCAGGTGAGCTAATGGGGAGTGTGCTGGAAACCTTACTGCCCCATGAGGCTGAGCAGAGCTAGCTGGCATGGACATTCTGGACAGTTCCTGGGGCTTCATGGATGAGCACGGGGTAGGAGGAAAAGAGAAGGTATTCACTTGTTCCAGACATAACCCTCTTCACCCTCGTGCTCCTCACTCCCACCATTTTCCCCTTAGAGAACCACCGTCTGGAGACCAGTCCTATTGGGAAGAAGGGCTAGGCCTGCAGACGCTGATACTGGGGTACTGGTGTGGGCATGCATGTAAGTAAGACATGATTGTTCTTTTCTCTAATAAAAAGAAGAAAGGCTTCACCACTAATAAAGGAAATTTTCTCTGGGTCACTGGAGGTCACAACAGTGTGGATGGCTGGCTCTGCCTCTGGAAGCAACCCATTGGTTGAGGAAATGGCTAGAGGCCCAACTCTCCTTCCAGCCCCTCCCTCCTCACTTCCTTGACCCCCTGGGCACTGGGTGAGCATGGAGAGGGACAAGATCAAAAGGTTCCAGGTACTTCCTGGAGACAGGGACAGAACTGATCCCAGAGCTGCAAGCTTCTCCACCCCTTGCTGAGGTCCAGCATCTTTTTCTTTCCACCCTCTGTTCTCAGGAGAGATGTCCCCTAACCTTATAAGGAGTCTCTGCCTTGTTTTATAAAATAACATCCATCCCCTAAGGTAGGCAGCAGCAATTTCAAATCTTTCCGAAGTCGCTCTGTGCCACCTGCTGTCTTGGACCCAGTTGACTCCTGCCACACTTCCCTCAGGACTGCTCAGAGGCCTCATACCGTCTTCAAGGTTCTCAGTCCAGGAGAAATTCTGGCAAGGGCCACTGGGCATTGAAGGCATGCCCAGTGGCCCCGTGGTGCCCCCACCCCGGTCTCTCAGCTCTCTCCCTCCCAGGAGTATCAAGGACCTGAACACTTGTTCATTTGTTTCCCATCGGACCTTTCTAGCATCTTGCCCTCACTTTTGGGAACAATGACTGGAGGCTTGGAGCCCAGGTCCCTGGCAGGCAGAGGCCACTAATGAAGAGTGGGGCCTCCAGACTCTCCGTCCTTCGGCTTGCCCTGCACATGTTCCCATAATGTTCCACGCTTGCTCGGCATATGTCCTCCCTGCTGGAGCCCAAACTCCACAGAAACCAGGTGCAGCTGTCCTGCCCCCACGGTATCCTACATTCTTCACCTAGTGCTTGCGAGCAGTTACTCCGGGATGTAACCCCTGGTCTGTCTCCCGATTTGAAAACGGGTCCATGTTGATTCCTCGTGACCCAGATTGTCCCTTTCCTCACTAATCACACAGATGTGATGTCAGGTGGTTGTTTGTCATCTCCTATATCTGTTCCCACCTTCTTTGCTACTCCTTCTCCCTCCCCCGTTCTGTGAAACCTTTCTTCTCTCCACTCTAGTGCCCTCAGGAACCCATTCTTTATCCCTATACTCTTAGGGAAGGGCTTGAAAAATAGAATCATGGGGTTAATGGTGAAAGGTTTCTGAGGCCCAGAGAGGTTCAGTGACTTCCCCAAGGTCACACAGCAGGTGACCTCAGTCCAGTGCTGGTTCCACTGGCTGCTGAGAGCAGGTTCCAGCCCTGCTTCTGCCCACTCATAAAGGGCTTATTTATATTGGTGTGCAATGGAGTCAGTCCAGGCCCTGTTCGAAGCCCACCCCGTCTACCAAATACCACTTTTCTGGCCTCCCTAACTCTTGAGTCCTGGCTGCACTGCGGATACCACAGCACCTCCTGAATGCTGAGGAAGGAATCACTGAATAGTGTAATTCGTGGCATAAGACAAAGTATGCAAAATTAAATATGGGATCATGGGACTTCCTCTGGTCCCAAAGTCACACTGTATTGATTATGGATGGTTTTTCCACTGAAAAGGCCCACTAGGTGGGATCATTTGACATTTTGTTCCATCCTGGAAGTGATGGGCCTAGAGGATGCTGAACTCCTTGATACAACTTATGAGGCCTTCCTTGAACTACCCCTGCCTACCCCTCCATGCCTCTCAGGTACTCCTTACTTCATCCATAATTAACACTCTATTTCTTCAGATGCCCTGGGGATTTCTCTCTGGTTTTCTTTGTTTCCCTCCTACTCTCCTTTACACTGATCTGAGTCCTTGAGTTGTTTTGAAGCCCTTATATTTATTCTATCCTAAGGTAGGCAGGAGTAACACGAATGCTAGGAAAGGCAGACACATTTTGGAGGACTTTCAGACATATGTATCATTCACCCGCATCATTCTGCAACCTGGAGGGTGTCCTCCTTACTTCACCCGGTGAATAAGTGAGGCTCGGCCTACAATCCATGGTTGAATGGCCGGTAAGAAAAGGGGTGAGGATTCAACACCAGGTTGGTCTGGCTTTATATCGCATTTATGTCACATAGCATCTCTCAGCCCCTCCTCTATCTCTACACTTAAAGTAGCTGATGTAATAGGATTTTCACATTGGATCAACTAACATCGCACTGTGAAGTCACCTGGAGGTATCATCATTATTTGCGAATAGTAAGATTCAGAGAGGCTAAGTAACTCTCCTGGAGCACCACAGATACCACCCCGGAGCCACACATAGAAGTAGATCTGTGGTACAAGGAGGTGGGGATGTCAGCTTCGTTTGCCAGATTTTGCCATCAGACGCTCTCCACGCTGAGCCTTCTTAGTCTAAAAAAAAAAAACCCAGCTGGGCCATGTCTCATTTGGGAATGAGGGCAGGAGGCATAGGTCTGCCCCAAAACACAAGAAAATCCAAACACTGAACACCCACCTCCTTCCTTCTTGACTTTACATTTCCCATTGTTAAACATTAATCTTTTGAGGGAGAAACACCAAAATGCTGATATAATTATCCAAATAAGTGTTTTCCATCCTGACAACGTTTACTCAATGAATAGCAAAGCTTCTGAACTTTGTCCTTCAGTCTTGTTATTCT